ACGGGGAGCGGCGGCGGCGGCGGAGGAAGCAGCCTTCGGAAAAGCCCCATGGGGGCGGGGGGGGGCGCCTCCAGCCAGGCGGCCTGCCTCAAGCAGATCCTGCTGCTCCAGCTGGACCTCATCGAGCAGCAGCAGCAGCAGCTGCAGGCCAAGGAGAAGGAGATCGAGGAGCTCAAGGCCGAGAGGGACACGGTGAGTGCGGCGGGGGGCGGAGGGGGACACGTGCGGGCGGCGAGGACCGGCGGCGCGGGGCCGGGTGAGAAGGGTGTGCGCCGGGGCGCGAGGGGTTAACGCCTGGTATGTCACCCGGGTGTTTGAGTGTGTGTGATGGGTTCCTAGTGGGCGGGATCGACGCAAATCCGCGCAGAGAGCGATGGGGGTTAATGGAGGTGGGGTGGGTCGCGGGGAGGGGTCTGGAGGGAGCCGTGGGGCAAGGTGGTTTTCAAGATGGGCGCGGGCAGGAGTTAGTTAATGTGCATGTGGGGCACGTGGGAGCAGGCAGAGGTCAGTGGGGAAGCAGAGCTGAGCCACAGCTCGCTGGCGGCCTTGGAGGTGACTTGCAGCAGAGGCCTAAGCCGCGCTGCCCCCTTCGCAGCCCGTTGAACTAGTTGGATCGGGAAAGGATTCAACTCTTAGGATTCGTCGTGTTGTGGGGAAGCACCAGGATTGTGGTGCCGCGAAGAACAACCGTGGGCCATCCTCCCCCTATTCTGGCGGGATCTTGAGGACCGCTGTGCTCTTAAGGGCTCAGGTGGCCTGGAGTACTGGCACGGCAAGGGTTAATATGTGGGGGCACATGATTAAAAGAGAGGCTAATCCCCGGGGTGGTTTAAGGAGGGCCTGGAGTGGCAATATGACCTGAAAAGAGGCGGTGTGGTGGAAGGTGAAAGTGGCCAGCAAGTGAATGGTTAATAAAACCCCAAATTGGGACAAAATGGTAAGGAAGTTCAACAACAAAAATGATTCAAAGTTCAAGGACTGTGGCGGGGGCTATAAAGTCCTCGGCAGTAACTTAAAGAATTAAAAAGGCCTTGGAGCTTCTCCAGTTGACAAGCAGCTAGGAAGGGGTTAATAACCCAGGGGCTAAGCTAAGAACCCTGCTGGTTAGCTTGGGTGGAGTTAAAGGCCCTGGAACAGCGCAGGCAAACAATGGGGTGGGAGTGGATCTGGGAGGGGTTGAAGTCACCAAGGAGTTAATCGGCCGCCGAGGGTGGGGGCTGGAAAAGTACCATGGCATAAGCAAGGTTAACTTAAAGAGGCAGGTATCTGCTGTTGGTAGCTATGTAGCACAAGTGGGGTTAATTTAAAGGGGCCCTGTGGCTGAGGGCTGCCACTGCCATGCTGGAGAGGAGACCAAAGCAAAAAATAAAAATAAAAGCACCTTTTGAAACTTGTTGTGTGTGCCATGTGGGCAGTTAGGGCAGGGCAGGATTATAAGCATGCCTTTTTAAAGGAATATTGCAAGTTTAGTACTCTCCTTTGGTCCAGAGATTCTCCCTTTCAGGGAAGCATCTGTCACCTTTTTATTAAGTTGTGTGTGGGGGGGGGGAGTGGCATTGTGTGCCCTATTCCACCTACAAGGTGCTCCTTTCCACTCGGGCACCATTTTGGAAGAGTAGAGACCCTGCTGTTTGGAGCCCCCTCCCCTGCAACCTGAGAGCAGAGCTTCTCTCCTACATAGAGACTGCCTCTATAAAGGGATGTTTATTGTAAGCAGGAGGACAGAACGTGCTTCATATCTCCACTGGCCTTTCAGCCCAAGAGCCGAATGGGGCACAGAGATAAGCTTGGGGGAGACCCTTTGGATCAGCTGCCAATAAAGATTGGTTTGTTGTTCACGGTTTTTAAGATGGCTCCTGTCACCGTTATGCATTCGCATAACGTCTGTTTCTAAGCCTTAGCCCCAGAAGCTGCTGTCTTGGTGCAGTGTGCCCCCCCCTTTTCCCAAATTCACAAAGGCCGTGTCATCCCAGCCTCTATGCATGGCACGTCTGTAGCCTAAAAATAGCCTCCTCTTCCCAGTTCTGCAGCTGCTGCACCCGTTATTGTAAAGGAAAGGACTGCTTTCTCTCCCTTCCACTTCAATTTTCAGCATGATCGATAGCATCTGTATCCAAAGTGTGTTTGCATTTGTGGGGTGGTGAGGGGAGGGTGTTCGAATTAGCTTCTGGTTGCAGTCAGTGGCAGCAGTTTAACATTTTACGGGCTGCAACAGAAAGATGGGTTGTGACACAAAAATCCATTTCCTGGTCAGCCCAGGGTAAATTTAACCAACATGGAGGTGCCACAGCTGCTGGTTTGCAGTCAAAACATATGAGGATGGCAGGCTGAGCACTTGGAAGGCCCTTGAGAGAGTGTGTGTGTGTGTGGGGGGGGTTCCTTAAAGAGAGAGAGCAAAAAAACACCCATGCACATTAAGGAGCTGGAAGACAAACAGCAAAGCTTGTGAGTCAAGCTGATACCAGAGCTGTTGGATCAGTTATCCCTGCATCTGCTGACCGCAGATTTACAAAGTTGTTCCCCTCTATGTGTTCCCCCCCACCTCTCCTGAGGTGCCAAAATCCTTTGAGCTTCAACATTATTTTGGTTTCAGTTGTACTAAAGCGCTCCTCAGACTTCACCGTTCAATGATCCTCTCAGTTTCTTCTGTGCTCTGTGCAGCATTGGCATCTAAGATGGAGGCTTTGCAGTTTTGGTGTGTGTGTATGGGATTTTTTTTAGATTGTTCAAAAACAGTTCTGCAAGACTCACATGAAAGTAGAGAGGCTCTGGAATACATGCACGCAAAGCACTGCAAAGTGTTAACGTTTTAGCCCGGGTTTTTGATGCCACCCTACCATTCCTCATTGTTGTTTTTTTAAGAACATGTCAGTTCAAAGTGCTGTGCAATCTTCCATCATTCTCACGCAATCTCCTTCCACTATTAAAGATTTATTTACTGGCTGCAGTGTGCCAGGTGTGCGCGCGTGGAGGGAATTGCATGGTCATTTGTGTACAGGAAAGGGTCCAAAGGGAGAAGGCAGGGCTTTGATAAGGGGTGGTTAGTGTAGACCAAGGAGAAGGATCAGTGGTGGTTTCCATAACAGGGCTAGTATATGCCTCTCATTTTATAGGTTGGCTGAGGCGGGGGGGGGGGTTGTTGTTGTCCTCGTCAGAGGGTTCATGCCAAATTGAGGGCTTTGGCTCCAGGTCTTCAAATCACCCACTGTCGTCACTGGCTCTTTATTTTCTCTCCATTCATTTGTGCAGTTGCCTTAGGAATTATCCCAGCCCCGTTGGATGCAGAGCTTGAGACACAGATACAGAAGTGTTCCCTTTGGGATTGCTTCAGAGTATGTCACATGAGCACCATGGGGACAGGACTTGCTCCCAGTGCTATGTAATGGATGTTAGCTGGGAAGAAGTAGTAAACATTTTCTTTTTTAAATTACTTATTTTAAAGGATGTTTGTACCTGTATATTTGCACCTATACATACAGCATGCTTGCCACCTGTATACTGGTGGCTATAGGAGACAGAAATGTACTTGTGGGAGCCTTGTTCCCCATGGCTTTGAAACCATGGAGGGCTGGAGACTGCAATCTCCCATTCACATGCATACTGTTTGGGGGGGGTATATACATCGGGTGTGGGGTTTTTCTGGCATACTCTTATACTGTTTGTCTTATTTGCTGCAGCACCTGTTCTCTTCCTTCCTCATAAGGCAAATTTCATTCACTGATACGGGGTGGGGGGGCAGGGGTGTTATCCAGAGTTGTCTTCTGAGATGTTTTTTTCATAGCTTCTTGAAAATCCTCGCTGATTATCCAGGCAGTGAAAGCAACCCCTATAAAGTTCGTTCATACAGAGGAAAAATAGGCTTTTTTGGTGGTAATAGGATACATGCTGGGAAAATGGCACAGGGCTTTCTACAGTCATGCTAGCAGTTCAGGTTTAGGGGTACATATTAGACTGCTGTCCCTAGTTTTGTCTAGTTGAAGATGGGGTAGACAAACTTACTTTAGATAGCAATATTCTGGGGGATATGTCCAGATAGGCCTCGGTCAAGATGCATGGCTTCATCCCGTAAGCAAAGATGAGTGCTTGCTGGTAAGTATTTCAAGGTCAGTCACGCAGAGTTGTATATAGCTCTGTATCTTCTGGTTCCTTTCCCTCAAATGCCACAGCAGACTGAGTTTTAATAAACTGTGTGTGTGTGGGGGGGATTTTTGTTCAGTTGACAGAAAACCACCTTTAACATCTACATTGCACTGTTGCCTTCCCAGCTCCTTGCTCGCATTGAGCGCATGGAAAGGAGGATGCAGCTGGTGAAGAAGGACAGCGAGCGTGAAAAACACAAAATATTTCAAGGATACGAAACTGAGGACAAGGTGGAGCCTGAGGCGCCGGAGAAGTTGCCTATTGAATGCCCACCCCAAGAACTCCTGGAGACGTCCCAGCCGCTGTCTTTGAAACACTTCCCATATGGGAGAAATGGGAAAGGTCACAAACGGTAAAGCCACACTTTTATTTTCCTGGTTTGGCAGCATGTGTGTGCCTTAAGCAACTGGCAGAAAGCTATACCTCAGAGTGGTTTTCTGCACCACCCTACACCTTTGTTCTCTGAACTGCAACAAATTGAAGCTGGTTTTAAACCTGTTTTGCTAGGATTCCCACCCATGGAACGTCAGAAATGCTAGCTCTTTGTAAGGTCCTTCGGATAAAGAGGCATCCGGGGGGGGGTGTGTGTGCAATTTCTTGGGTTCTTTAGAGGAACCCACAGCAGTTACACCTGGTTACACCTGGTTACAAGCCTTTAAAAATGTGTAGTATAGAAAATGCCTTCAATTTCCATTGTTTCTCAAGCAGATAGAGAAACTGTTTCTCTCTAAGTGATCTGTGTGCCCCCACTACTACCTGCATATTGACTTGAGTGTTTTGCCTCTTGCTGGCATCTAGCTTAGGAATAGCATGTGCTTTTTTCTTGGCTTCTCCACATGGGAATCTGGGAGATCCAGACTGAGAAGGAAGTCTGCTAAAGACTGTGGAGAATAGTGACAAGTTTGGGTAGAGACAGTGCCTGGCTAGATGCATCGGTAATAACTAGCATTTCAGTCTTCAAAGTGCTTTATTTTCTCAATATCCCTGACAACAGGCCTGTAGGGGCAAGTCAGTGCTGTGGGGAGCTAACCGTCGAACAAATTCAGGTCTGAGGGAAGACTGAATTTGGAATTTCCCTTTCTCACAATCATAGGCTGTACAAGTCACCAGCGTTCAAGTCATTGCTCTGAGTCAGTGTAAGGTGGCTTCTTGTAAAACCTGCCACATGGTAGTTTGAGAGAAGCCTGGCTTAAGAACAGTAGCCATTCTGGATCAGACAAGTGGTCCATATATTCCAGCATGCTATTTCATCTGTAGAGGCCAGCATTCCCTCCTGTTGTTGCATTACTATTCATAAGCTTACTGCTTCTGAACATGGAGGTTCCATTTAGCCATTGTCAGACCTATCACCTGTTTAATCCCTTTTAAAGCAAAGTAAACTCTTCACCGTTGCTAGTTAGTTTGACCCAAAAACCTTTGTAACAGACAGAATGCTATAATGCTGTCGTGCCTTCAACTTGGAAGGAGTTATGGGGATAGTGCTTTACAAACCCATGTCTTCAATAGCAACATTTTGTGCTCTAATAAGCCACGCTGAATTTACTCTGTGATAGTCATAACTGGAAGCTTTCCCTAAGGCCAGCCAGTTCAATACTATGAGATATGTATAAACTGGGGAACTCGAATTCTGCTTCTAAGATGGTTGCCAATAGCAGCTGGTGATTCTTGCTTCAGCCTTCTTTATAATATGCTGCTATAATCCTGTGTCCTTTGTCCTTTTTTTGCAGAAAGTCTGCATTTGGAAGTGCGGAGAGGAAGACTCCAATGAAAAGGCTGGTGGCTGAATTTTCAAAAGTCAAGTGTAAATCACCAAAGTCTTCTCCGTTGAAAGAAGAGCCTGGCAGTTCTTTAACTGAATCGGTTACCAGGCGTGAGCTACGAAGTCAGGAGACTCCAGAAAAGGCCCGATCTTTGGGAGACACTTTACTGAAATCCTTGGGCCCTCTGAAAGGAGCTGGGGGCCACACAAAGGACAAGAACTCATACAGCGAAACAGAAGACTTGCCATACCTTTCCACCACTGAAATGTACTTGTGCCGATGGCACCAGCCGCCTCCTTCACCGTTGCGAGAACCTTCTCCCAAGAAGGAGGAGACTGTAGCAAGTAAGAAACTTGCTCGTGCCTCTGTGGTGGTTGGCCAGATGTGGGTTGGAGAGGGCATGGAACCCACTCATTGGGGTGGGGGGGTGTCTGCTTTGAGAGTCTTTCAAACACTTGAAGACAGCCGGGGGGGGCAACTTTTCATTTCTGAGTGATGCTGGTGTAGGTCCCAGACCTCTGGCTGGAGTAAGGAAGCATTTGAAATCCCGCAGATGGTCTAGACCGGGTATGGGAAGTGTGTGAAGAAAACCAGCCGTCCGGAGATCTTTTGGTGGCTTCCTGTGCTCCTGGTGTCTCCTGTAACTGTCCATTTCTGCCAGCCGACTGTTCGCCCTTTGTGATACCTCATGATGAAGGGTGAGCGGAGTAGAATTGAGGCCAATGCACCAGCCTCCTTGGTGGTTGATAAGCCCTAGGGAAAGTGACACGCACAAGACAATCATGTCCTGGGAGACGTGGACCTGCTGAAGTGAGCGAGAGATC